GTGGGGGAGGTGTGGGGGAGGTGTGGGGGAGGTGTGGGGGAGGTGTGGGGGAGGTGTGGGGGAGGTGTGGGGGAGGTGTGGGGGAGAGATGTGTGGGGGAGGTGTGGGAGCGATGTGTGGGGGAGGTGTGGGGTGCGAGATCCCGTGCTCTGCGACTAGGGCCGCGCGCCAGTCGGCGGAGCAGCGGTCGACGCGTCGGAGGCGAGCGTTGAGTGCGGCGACGAGGAGCTCAAACTCGTCGTCGAGCGCCGCGCGCAGCGCCTCGAACTCCAGAAAGTCCGCCAGCGAAAGCGACCACGGGCAGGCCGCCGTGCCGGAGCCGCTCACGTACACGCTGTACTTGACCGGCCCGCCGCGCTCCCGCCCCCCGCCAGGCAGCACGCCGCCCGACGGGAGCCCGCAGCCCGCGAGCCTCATGCTCGCAACCGGCGGCGGCGGCGGCGGCGGCGGCGGTGGCGGCGGCGGCGGCCGCGCGCCCGCGGCAGCAGAGCAAGCAGGCTGCGAGGGGGCTGGGAGGCCGTGGCGCGACGGGCGGGGAGGCTCTACCCGAGGCGGGGCGGCCGGCGCGTCGGCCCGCCTCGAGCGCGGCGTGCCTCCGCCGTCCTCGGCATCGGATCCGGATGCGTCTCGCCAGAGGTGCATTTTGCCCGCCGACACGCCACGCCCGCTGCCGGCCCGACGCAGCTTTTCTCGAACCACCGTACCCGCTGCCGCCGCCGCCGCCGCCGCCGCCGCTGCCGCCGCTGCCGCCGCTGTCGCCGCCGCCGCCGCTGCCGCCGCTCGCGTCGCCATCGTCGCTGCCTCCGCCGCCGCCTCCGCCACTACCTCCGCCGCCGCCGCCTCCTCTACCGACCCCTCCTCTACTGCCGCCTCCGCCTCCTCCTCCGCCTCCTCCTCCGCCTCCGCCTCCTCCTCCTCCTCCTCCTCCGCCGCCGTCGGTCGAGCGACCGGGTGTCGTGTCGACGCGCGGCGGCGGGGCGCGGAGAGCGCGCGGCGAAGGGAGCGGCGACGGGAGGAGCCGCAGCCCCGACGAGGTGGAGCGAGGCCTTGAGAGGGCCAGCCGGCGCGCCGAGCCGCGCGGCGGGTGCGCGAGCGGCGCGGCGACGCTCTCGAAGATGTCGACCCAGCCGAGCACATGGTACGCGTCGCTCTGCAGCTCGATCCGGTGCCTGGCCACAGCGGGAGGTGTGAAGAGACGCTGTTCACAGCTCGCGTCGCTCTGCAGCTCGATCCGGTGCCTGGCCACAGCGGGAGGTGTGAAGAGACGCTGCTCACAGCTCGCGTCGCTCTGCAGCTCGATCCGGTGCCTGGTCACAGCGGGAGGTGTGAAGAGACGCTGTTCACAGCTCGCGTCGCTCTGCAGCTCGATCCGGTGCCTGGTCACAGCGGGAGGTGTGAAGAGACGCTGTTCACAGCTCGCGTCGCTCTGCAGCTCGATCCGGTGCCTAGCCACGGCGGGAGGTGTGAAGAGACGCTGTTCACAGCTCGCGTCGCTCTGCAGCTCGATCCGGTGCCTGGCCACAGCGGGAGGTGTGAAGAGGCGCTGTTCACAGCTCGCGTCGCTCTGCAGCTCGATCCGGTGCCTGGCCAGAGCGGGAGGTGTGAAGAGGCGCTGTTCACAGCTCGCGTCGCTCTGCAGCTCGATCCGGTGCCTGGCCACAGCGGGAGGTGTGAAGAGACGCTGCTCACAGCTCGCGTCGCTCTGCAGCTCGATCCGGTGCCTGGCCACAGCGGGAGGTGTGAAGAGACGCTGCTCACAGCTCGCGTCGCTCTGCAGCTCGATCCGGTGCCTGGCCACAGCGGGAGGTGTGAAGAGACGCTGTTCACAGCTCGCGTCGCTCTGCAGCTCGATCCGGTGCCTAGCCAGAGCGGGAAGTGTGAAGAGACGCTGTTCACAGCTCGCGTCGCCGTGCAGCTCGATCCGGTGCCTAGCCACAGCGGGAGGTGTGAAGAGACGCTGTTCACAGCTCGCGTCGCTCTGCAGCTCGATCCGGTGCCTAGCCACAGCGGGAGGTGTGAAGAGACGCTGTTCACAGCTCGCGTCGCTCTGCAGCTCGATCCGGTGCCTAGCCACAGCGGGAGGTGTGAAGAGACGCTGTTCACAGCTCGCGTCGCTCTGCAGCTCGATCCGGTGCCTAGCCACAGCGGGAGGTGTGAAGAGGCGCTGTTCACAGCTCGCGTCGCTCTGCAGCTCGATCCGGTGCCTAGCCACAGCGGGAAGTGTGAAGAGACGCTGTTCACAGCTCGCGTCGCTCTGCAGCTCGATCCGGTGCCTGGTCACAGCGGGAGGTGTGAAGAGACGCTGCTCACAGCTCGCGTCGCTCTGCAGCTCGATCCGGTGCCTGGCCACAGCGGGAGGTGTGAAGAGACGCTGCTCACAGCTCGCGTCGCAGTGCAGCTCGATCCGGTGCCTAGCCACAGCGGGAGGTGTGAAGAGACGCTGTTCACAGCTCGCGTCGCTCTGCAGCTCGATCCGGTGCCTGGCCACAGCGGGAGGTGTGAAGAGACGCTGTTCACAGCTCGCGTCGCTCTGCAGCTCGATCCGGTGCCTGGTCACAGCGGGAGGTGTGAAGAGACGCTGTTCACAGCTCGCGTCGCTCTGCAGCTCGATCCGGTGCCTAGCCACAGCGGGAGGTGTGAAGAGACGCTGTTCACAGCTCGCGTCGCTCTGCAGCTCGATCCGGTGCCTAGCCACAGCGGGAGGTGTGAAGAGACGCTGTTCACAGCTCGCGTCGCTCTGCAGCTCGATCCGGTGCCTAGCCACAGCGGGAGGTGTGAAGAGACGCTGTTCACAGCTCGCGTCGCTCTGCAGCTCGATCCGGTGCCTAGTCAGAGCGGGAGGTGTGAAGAGACGCTGTTCACAGCTCGCGTCGCTCTGCAGCTCGATCCGGTGCCTAGCCACAGCGGGAGGTGTGAAGAGACGCTGTTCACAGCTCGCGTCGCAGTGCAGCTCGATCCGGTGCCTGGTCACAGCGGGAGGTGTGAAGAGACGCTGTTCACAGCTCGCGTCGCTCTGCAGCTCGATCCGGTGCCTGGTCACAGCGGGAGGTGTGAAGAGACGCTGTTCACAGCTCGCGTCGCTGTGCAGCTCGATCCGGTGCCTGGTCACAGCGGGAGGTGTGAAGAGACGCTGTTCACAGCTCGCGTCGCCGTGCAGCTCGATCCGGTGCCCCTCCCAGACTCGCGTCGACAGCGAGCGCCAGAAGGCGTCGGCGCCCTCGCGCCCGTGCAGCGCCGCGATGAGCTCCTGCAGCCTCCGCGCGCGAGATTACCCGAGATCTCCGAGATCCCCCGAGATTGTGATGAGATGCGATGAGCTCCTGCAGCCGCCGCGCGCGGACCGCCCTCCTCGAAAGGTAGAACTGGCGGGGGCAGATCGGTGGCAGTAGGGGGGCGCTGGGCGAGCTGGGGTGGGGGGAGGGAGGGGGCATCGCTTGCAGGCAGCAGAGGGGCAGCTGAGGGCGGCGGGGCAAGCAGAAAAGGGACAGCTGAGGGCGGCGGGGCAGGCGGCACTAGCCACGCGCTACCTGGCGCGCGAGCGGCGGCAGCACGCACAGAGTCGTACCGACGAGCGTCTCCCACACCTATTCACAGCTAAGGGTGTGAAGAGACGCCGTTCACAGAGTCGCACCGACGAGCACCTCCCACACCGCGTAGCGAGACCGCTCCCGGAAGGACTCGCATAGCGCAAAGTAGGCCGAGCCCGAGACGAGCGACTTAAGCTCGGCAGGGAGCAGCGGCATCGCCCACGGAGCGTCGGGAGCCTGTTCACAGACCGAGGTGTGAAGGGACGCTGTTCACAGCTCCCATCGCATCGCACCACGGCGCGTCGGGCGCCTGTTCACGGCGGGAGGTGTGAAGAGACGCTGCTCACAGCTCGCATCGCATCGCACCACGGGGCGTCGGGCGCCTGTTCACGGCGGGAGGTGTGAAGAGACGCTGCTCACAGCTCGCATCGCATCGCACCACGGCGCGTCGGGCGCCTGTTCACAGACCGAGGTGTGAAGAGACGCTGTTCACAGCTCCCATCGCATCGCACCACGGGGCGTCGGGCGCCTGTTCACGGCGGGAGGTGTGAAGGGACGCTGCTCACAGCTCCCATCGCATCGCACCACGGCGCGTCGGGCGCCTGTTCACGGCGGGAGGTGTGAAGAGACGCTGCTCACAGCTCCCATCGCATCGCACCACGGAGCGTCGGGCGCCTGTTCACGGCGGGAGGTGTGAAGAGACCCTGCTCACAGCTCCCATCGCATCGCACCACGGGGCGTCGGGCGCCTGTTCACAGACCGAGGTGTGAAGAGACGCTGCTCACAGCTCGCATCGCATCGCACCACGGGGCGTCGGGCGCCTGTTCACAGACCGAGGTGTGAAGAGACGCTGCTCACAGCTCGCATCGCATCGCACCACGGCGCGTCGGGCGCGTTGGCGCCGCCGAGGTAGAGCCGGTGCACGTGCTGGCGCGCGCGGTACTTGTGCGCCTCCCAGGTGAGCTCCGAGGACAGGGTGGTGCCACCTAGCCGCTGCCGCCGCCACACGGGCTCCTCGCCCGAGGGAGCACCGCCTCCACCCCCGCCGCCGCCGCCCCCGCCGCCGCCACCCCCGCCGCCGCCACCCGCGCCGCCGCTTCCGCCGCTTCCGTCGCCGTCGCCGCCGCCGCCGGCCGCAGCGATGAGCGGCGCCTGCCGAGCGCTGCTGGCGGCGGAGTGCGGCGCGTGCGGCTGCGTCTGGCGGAGGGTGCGCGCGCGCAGGACGGGCGGGAGGAGGAGGAGGGCGGCGAGGAGGGCGAGGCCGGCGAGGGGCGGGAGGAGGATGACGGCGTGGCCGGCGGCGGGAGGGACGTTGAGGAGCAGTCCGAGGTTTGTGAACCAGACCTCGAAGAAGAGGCCGCACTGGTCGCGGCCCGCCGTCAGGATGAAGGGCGGGTCGCACCTAAAAAAGAAATATCTGCTAAAAAAGAAATAGCTGCCGCCAGGATGAAGGACGGGTCGCACCTATTCACAGCTAAGGGTGTGAAGAGACGCCGTTCACAGAGCCGCCAGGATGAAGGGCGGGTCGCACCTAAAAAGAAATAGCTGCTAAAAAAGAAATAGCTTCCAGGATGAAGGGCGGGTCGCACCGCCAGCGGCAGCTGTTGATGGCGACGAAGGAGGCGCGGAGCGGCGGCAGGGCGCAGCGGTCGCACGCGTCGCCCCGCGCCGACGCGGTCTCACCGAGCGGGCATGGGAGACACGCCAGCCCTCCCTCCCCCGGACTCGGGTACGAGGTGTCGTTGCTCGCAACCAGCCCGGCGCCGCACGGAGAGCATGCGCTCTGGCCGGGCGCGGGCGCGACCGTCCCTGGCGCACACGCCTCGCAGGGGCCGTTGTCGGCGTGGCGCTTGGCAGTCCCCGCCCCACAGAGGTCGCACAGAAGTCCGCCGTGCCCCGGCTCACACGCCGCGCCGCGCACAGTGCCGATGCCTCCGGCGCCGCCGCCCGCGCGCCCGTCGCCGGTGCCGCCGGCAGGGTGGGAGAAGAGCCGGCCAACCCTCGGGTCGGGGGTCCCCTTCCACCGCCCGCTTGCCGGAGACAGCCACAGCCGGCCGCCTCCGCCGCCTCCGCCGCCCGGCGACCCGCCGACGCCGCCGTCCGCGGTGACGGTGGCGCCGCCCATGGTCGAGACGACCGACACGGTGCCGGCGCGGACTGCGATCGTGCCTCCCGACCCTCCTCCGCCGCCTCCGCCGCCCCCGCCGGCGGCGGCGCCCCGGTCCCCGTTGGCAGAGATCCTCCCAGAGTAGAGCGTGAGCTGCTCCTCGGCGAACACGTGGATCACACCGCCGCCCGCGCCGCCGCCCTCGCCGCCGCCGCCCGAGCCGAGCGTGCCGGGTTGCGTGCCGTTGGGGGAGTCGCCATACGCCTCCCCGCCCGCCGCCGCCGTCGCGTTCCCCACCGCGCCTCCGCGCCCGCCCGGCCCGCCGTGCCCGCCCCCCGAGCCGGCGGCGGTGGCGCCCGAGCCCGCAGGGCTCCCGACGCCGCCTGCGCCGCGCCCGACCCCGGCGCGGTGGCCCAAGTAGTCTGCGATCAGGGCGCCGCCCAGCGAGAGGCTGCGAGTGCAGACAAGCATCGCCGACGCGGCGACGACGCCGCCGCCCGCCACATCGAGCCGATCGTCCGCCACTATCGAGACCGGGTAGCCGCTCGCACCGGCCGACTCGCCGTCGCCCTCGCCACCCCCCGCCCACCCCTCCTCCCGCCCCTCCTCCGCCCCCTCCTCCCGCCCCTCCTCCGCCCCCTCCTCCGCCCCCTCCTCCGCCCCCTCCGCCCGCCCCTCCCCGCCCGCCGCGAGTCGAGACGCCGCAGCCCGGTGTGCCGGGAGCTGCAGCTCTGGCGGCGCGAACGCACGCCGCCGCGCGCGCCGCAGCGGCGGGCAGCGCGGCGTGAAGTCGGTGGCGTTGTCGGCCGGGTCTGGGAAGGACGACGCCGCCATCGTCGCCTTTTCACAGCCGGCAGGTGTGAACAGACGCCGTTCACACTCGCGCGTCACGAGAGGCCGCCGCCCGCTGTCTCGGCGCCTGCAGCTTGCCAGCGAGTGTCAGCCTCGCTGCGCGGACGGCGATGGTGTCGGACGAGATGGTGCCCATGACTCCAATGTCGAGGGCTCCTATTCACAGCTAAGGGTGTGAAGAGACGCCGTTCACAGATGGTGCCCATGACTCCGATGTCGAGGGCTCCTATTCACAGCTAAGGGTGTGAAGAGACGCCGTTCACAGATGGTGCCCATGACTCCGATGTCGAGGGCTCCGCCGACAGAGAGGGCGAGGGCGCCCTTGCCCGACACGGAGCCTCGCAGGGTGGCGCCACCGGAGACGGTGGCGGCGCCGATCGCCTCAGGGGGGGTACGGTCAGGGAAACTTCTCCACACACACACGAGGCGGTGGGGGGGCAAGGGCCAGGCTAGCCCCTCGCGGCTCCACGTCTAAGAGACAGGAGCCGCACCGGCATTCAACGTGCAAGGCCCGGTGCGCGTGGGTGAGGTGTGTGTGTGAGGTGTAGGTGTGTGTGTGTGTGTGTGTGTGTGTGAGTGTGTGTGTGTGTGTGCGTGTGCGTGTGCGTGTGCGTGTGTATGTGTGCGTGAGTGAGTGGGGCCGATCGCCTCGATGCGGGACGTTGTGTCGAGGGAGAGGGAGGTGACGTTGAGCGTGTAGGTGCAGTCGCCCCGCGAGTCTTCGCAGCTGACCGACGCGCCCGACGACACGTCCAGCCCCGCCGCATGCACCTGGGGAGGTGTGG